CACCCGTGATGTGGGGGGGCTGAGGGGGGGGGGGTGGTGGCCTCCACCCGGAGGTGGGAGAGCTATAACGGGGCTCACCCAATGCTGTGTGTACAGCTGGGCGTGTTGCACACCCCCGCTGAGCTCATGCTGATGGGTCTCTGTTCCCTCTTGCAGCACCAGGCCTATGAGTTCCAGTTTGGGGCTGCTTACGCCTGGATGATGTGCGTCTTCACTGTGGTCATGACATACAGCATCACCTGCCCCATCATTGTCCCTTTTGGTAAGTAATACTCTTCTGCCACCCTGTGTCAGAGGTTGGGGGGAGGCAAGAAGGGTCACACGGGAGAGATTCCCTGTACTGGGGGTACTGAGAAAGAGGCTGATTCCTCTCTGCTGACGTCCCTCCCCTCTCTCCAGGGCTCATGTACATGCTGCTTAAGCACCTGGTGGACCGATACAACCTGTATTATGCTTATCTGCCTGCCAAGCTGGACAAGAAGATCCATTCAGGGGCTGTGAACCAGGTGGTGGCTGCCCCCATCCTCTGTCTCTTCTGGCTTCTCTTCTTCTCCACCATGCGCGCAGGTGAGTGCTGGGCTGGGATGCCAGCCCCTGGCCTCTTGTAGAGCCGCTTCCCTGGCTGAGCTGTGGGTCCTGGCAGTCCTCAGCCACAGAGCACAGTCAAGGTTCCTCTGACACCACCATTTCATTTTTCTTTTGCTCCAGGGTTCCTGGCCCCCACTTCAATGTTCACCTTTGTGGTCCTTGTGATTACCATTGTGATCTGCCTGTGTCACGTCTGCTTCGGCCACTTCAAATACCTCAGCGCTCATAACTACAAGGTGAGGTGGAGTGCTGGCTGGGAGTGCAGGACACTTCTTGGGAGCACAGCTCAGCAGCAGAACAGTGGGGACTCTAGAGGGGGGGCACCTAGAATGCTCCCGGGCAGAGCTTCTCAACCCTGGCTTCACAGAGAGAACGGTTCCTGAGGCTGTCCCTGCTGCCTCTATGCTGCTCCTGTGGTGGGACAGCAGATGTGTCATCCCAGCTATCTCTCAATTTCTTCTTTCCTCTCCAGATTGACCACACAGAAGTGGACTCCATAGAAAACAGGCAGAACGGGAGACCTGCCACCAGCCTGCCGGCTCCCAAATCCGCTGTGAGTCCCTGTCCCCACCTCCATGCCCTAGCCTTGGCATGCTTCTTACCCAGGTTTGGGAAGGGGGAGGTAACTCCCTGTCCAAGTACCTCACACCTCACCTCTCTGAGGCAGCACCCAGAGTTTCCCAGCAAGAGTGGGATGTTGGGCCCTGTGCTACTCGTCCAAGCTGGGTGATGAAGTTTAACCCACACACACACAGACGCCTTTCCTGATGTTCCTCAGAAGCTGTGCATCTATTTTCTGTCTCTCTCTTGGCTGGGATAGTGAATCCAACTGGGTCAGCCTCTGTCCTCCTCCTGCATCTTGAGCACTTGCCCATCAGCAAAGGCTGCCACCTACTGGGCTGGTCCTGGTGCCATTGCAACTAAGAGGTCTCCATGGGCATTGCCTTAAAGGCTATGGAAGTGCTCTGGGGACTCTCCTCCCCTGCCCAGCTCTCTGGGATCTCAGAGTCAGTTTTCTGAACTTCTACTTGGCTCGCTGGCTCTATTCCAGCCGATTCCTTCAGATTTTTCTAGCTGGGTTCTGTGCAGAGCTGTTCAGGGAGTACAGGCAGAGCCTCCTGCTTCCTTAGGAGAGCAGGGCTTGGGTGTGGACTTGTAATCCAGGCTCCTTCCCAATCTCCATGTATCTAAGGGCAGGGGTGTCTCTCCCAGAGGAGATTCCCCTTAAGAGGCAGGCACAGCCGCAGAGGGACACATCCACGGTCTTCTGGTCCACGTGTGCTCTGAAGCACTGAGAAGTCCCATGCTCTCCTAGCTCTGGCTCCTTGGGGATGATGCCTTCCCAGGATGCTGGGGTTTGACCACAGCCATGCTGCAGGCACATCTGCTGTTGCAGGACCAAGCCAGCCCTGCTTTTAACCACTCTCCTGGTACATCCTATGGAGTCTGGGCCCTTCCTTGCTTTTCCAGCATATCCCCACCCTCAACCTCTTGTGCTTTGCGTGTTGGGCTCTGCTGCCCTGAGAAGTCCCTGGTCTAACATGTGTTTCTGCTCTCCCCCACCCATCACCCAACCCACGTGTGGCCCGGGCAGAAGTACATCGCCCAAGTGCTGCAGGACTCCTCGCCGGAGGGTGAAGCGACAGAGTCGGAGGAGCAGGGGTCGCAGGACGAGGAGCTCATCAACACGGATGGCATGAACGACACGGATTTCCAGTCGTGTGAGGACAGCCTGATAGAGAACGAGATCCACCAGTAGGGACCTCGGAGGGAGGGAGGGGAAGGAGGCCCAGGAGCAGGGCAGGCTGTACGCACGGAGACCTAGGGAGAGGCACCGAGGGTGCTGGCCACTGCCCTCGCTCGCCCGCCCCCCGGGGCTGCTGCCTTCAGCGAGGGCAGGGGCCCTGCCACAAGCTCTCCGTTCCCCTGCCCCTCCACCCCTGTGCCAGCCCAGCGGGCACGCTCTCTACTAGCGACCTTCTTTGATGCATCCCCGGGGGCTGGGGAGGAGGGGGTACTGTGACCCCTGCGGTGCTGCTCTGGACCCGCAGGGAGAAGGAAGGCTGGGTGCTCTGTGGGGAGGGGCACAAGGGGAACTTTCAGGAGCTTCTCAGCAGGCCCCTCTGTCCCCCATCCTCCTGGCAAGAAACACACTAATAATTTATTAGATTTACAGGAAGGTGACAAACAAAAAGCTTTAGTCAGTGTATTGGAAGTACTCTCTAGGGAGGGGGGTGGCTTTTGTTGCACCTTCTCCCCTGTGCCCTTTCACAACCCCTTGCAGCCTCCTCTTGGTGTGACACCAAGGTGTGAGGGGTGGTGACAGAGACCTCCCCATCCCTCCTCACCAGGAAGGTGACAGCCTGGCCTTGTGGTCAGGGGTGGCATCACCCCGGGAAGGGGTTCAGGGTTGGCGTGAGCTAGGCAGCCCCTTGCAGAGTGAGGGGTGCTGAGGGCATTTCTTGTGGGCAGGAGGAGGTGCTGGCAGCCTCTCCCCCGGGGGCACAGGCAGGGGATTGCAGCATCATTTTAAGTGGCATTTTTTTTTTTTGCACATTTTACTCCCCTTTCAAACAAATCAACCTGATCCCCATGTGGTACCGCAGCCCCCTTTGCTGCCCTGTGTCTGCACAGCAGGGTCAGGCCTGGGGGCTGTGCTGGGGGTCTCCTGGGTGCTAGGGAGAGGGGAGAAAGGGTCCTGGACTACAAGGCCCTCAGCACCCTGCAGGGTGCCTGGTTATGATGGGGCCCCATGGGCTGCCTTCCCTGAGCTGCTGCAAGGTCTTCCCCCAGCTGAGGTGGTCAGAGAGGGAGGGAGCCCTGGGAGAGGAGCCCCTGGGCACCCTCTCCAAGCAAGACCACCATCTTCAGGAGCACAAAAGCCTCATAGGACTGTGCTGGCTTTCTTTGCCTGCCCTAACTGGCTGAGTCACCTGTCACCCCAGTGTCACCCAGCCTGAGAGGGGGGCTGTTCCTCCCCTACCTCTGCCCTTGCCTTCTCCCTGGTGCTAGCTGTGTCCCAGGAGCTGGCAGGGGATATGATTGATGGGAGAGGTCAACTGGAGCCCCTGGCACCTGCAGGGAGGTCTGACCCTTTTAAAAGGCTCTTTGTGAGGAGGTTTCTGGTCAGGATCAGTTGCCCTCAATTGCTTCCCCCCTCCCCTTGTGTAAAATGTAAGGAAAATAATAAATCTCCCTGCTATCGAGCTATATTTATTTCCCTCAACCCCTGCCACCATCCTGTTTGGTGCTCATTGCAGACACTACCACCCTCCCTTTGCCTGTCATCTGTGGGTGCTGCACTGGCTTTACTGGGGCCGTGCCCTCCAGGGTGTTATGGGGCTGAGTGGAAGGGGACAGTCGTTACCTTTTTCAATCACCCGTGCTGGCCCTGGAGCTCCAAGCACTTTAATAGACCTGAGCAAGTGAAGCATCAGCCCTGCCCGGCTCCTCTCCGGGAAAGGGCGGTCACATCCCATGGCTTTTCTCCCCCTCGCCCCCATTAGAGGATACATGGAGCAGGCAGGGGGCTGCTCCGGGGAGGACGCAGCTGACTTTCCCATACACCTCTCCATAGGAATCCCAGGCCCAGAGGAAAGGGGGGATGGAGGGAAAGGGATGTGAGTCTTCGGTGCATGGGGAGGGCAGCCCGCCCTTGCTCCCAGGGCTTGGCTGGGGCTGGAGAACGTGCAGGTGCAGGGGGGCACGGTGAATGTCACCCGTCCCCTCCAGGGATGGGCTGGAGATGGAATGAGCGTGTGAGCTGAGAGCTCCCGCTCTGCTCCCAGGCCGGGGCAGGGAGGATGTTGATCCTGCTTCCCTATTCTTGCACCCACCTACTGCCCCTGCCCCCAGCCCAGCAGGCGGGCTGGGGTCTCCAGTCTCTGTAGGTACAGCCGTGGCTCGGGGCTGCCTCTGCGGCTGTCGGGGCTCTGCCGTGGAGAGCTGTGTGTTCTGAGTGGCACTGTCTGTGTAGAGATGTGTATAATACCCTGTATATATTTGTGTAAAAAAAAAAAAAAAAAAAAAGGAAAAAAAGGAGCTATTGTCTTTGCAATCTTTTCTTTGTGGAGCGGGTTGGGGGCTGGGACTTGGGAGGAGAGAGAGAGGACCCCAGCTGCAGCAGGGCCGCAGGAGCATGCGTGGTGCAAAGGGAGGAGTAGGGGGTTGTGCGCTCCCCCAGTGTGAGCACAAGCCCTGCCCTGCTGCCAGGAGCTGAGCTCCGGCTCGTGGGCTCTCCCGGCCCCAGTGGGCTCTCCCTCTGGCTGGCGGAGGCATCAAAGGCTCTGCCGCTGAAGGCGAGTGGATGGGGAGCAGCCTGCTCCGAGGCTGGGATGGGGAAGGTGCTTGGGGAATGGTGTGGGAGGGGAAGGGAGTTTTGCTGGTAGCCTTGGTGGCGGGTGTCAGCTCAACCCCATGGTCCCAAGAGCAATTTACGTGGCTGCTCCTGCTGTCTCTCTCCAGGAACCTGTCTCCTGGCCTGGTTTGGGTGGACAGCTAAAGCCTTTGGGAAAGGGTGAGGAGCACAGCTTGGTTGGGAGCGCTTTCCTGCCAGGTGATGCTGCGTGTAGCTCAGCCACCTCCTAAACATGGGGGCGGGCAGGAGCCAGCCCCCAGGACCACTCTCCCCTGCAGGCTGGGGTGGATCCCGGGCTCATTAATTTTTGTATTCGGTGGCTGTTGCTCGGAGGACTGCCCAACAGAGAGGTGAGGTGTGGGGCAGGCTTCTGAGACAGAGCAGTGACCCCAGGCTCCCAGCTCCCTTCCCACCTCCCTGGGTTCAGGCTCTGTGGCTTCGTGCCCAGCGCAGCGTGAGCAGAGGACAAAAAGCTCTCCTTTCCCTGGCACCCTGCAGCCAAAAGGCTGGGAAGAGGCAACGCCTGGGCACAGACAAAGAGGACCAAAGAACAACAGCACCCGCTGCCAAGTCCCTGTGGGCACGGCTGCAAGGGGAAGCTTGAGGGAAGGGAAGAAGGAAGTTGCGCAGGTATTTGTGCAGGTGTTTGAGGGAAATGGCTCCCCGGTGCAGGAGGCAGGACACGGGACAGGCTGTGACACGGGATTACGCAGGAGCTCTCTCCTGCCCCAGGAGAGTCAGCTGTGAAAGCGGCTTTAAAGGCCACCCGAGGGGTAATGAGGCAGGAGGGGAACAGGGTCACAACAAGGACGGACACTGTCTGGGGGGATCTGAGCGGGCAGACGGGCAGTGGTGGTGGTCAGGGCCAGAGAAAAAGCTGGCAAAGCCATTCAGGCACGAGCCCGAAGCAGGACCAAGCCCTGGTGCTGCAGGTCTGCTTGCTCCTTGGGTGCAGAGCTGTGTGGTGACCCCAGCAAGGACCCCCTTACCCTCCCAGCCTGTGGGCAGCAGCACAGCCACTGTTTTGGCTGAGGATAAGGTGGAGTGGACGCTATGGCAACCCAGAGCAGGGTATCCCAAAGCCTCCTCCATGCCAGGGTGGGCAGAACAACCTGCCTGTGGCAAGTTCCCCTAGGTGGGGATGGGGATGGGGACAGGGCAGCTGGTTTTGAACATCCTGGTTGTCCTTCCCTCAGGCAAGGGACACAGCTCCCGACCCCACTTGCAACCTGCTCCCTGCCTAGCAAGGATTTGCCCCACTGGGGCAAGGTGGGGTGGGTTAGAAAGTGGGCACTCTGTGAAGCCTGGGGGAAGGAGTAGGGGGATGCCAGCTCCTGCAGTGAGGTGATACGGGCACAGCATTTCCAGCTGCATCCAGGCATGAGGGGAAGAGGAGGTGCCCCACAGTTGGTGATACTATTTGGGACCACCATGTTCAGCCCTGGCACCAGAAGGATGGCAGTGGAGAGCTTCTACCTGGAGTGAGTGGGGTTGGGCCAGAGTATGCCAAACTGAGCTGAGCTGGTCGTTCCAGGCCAAGCCATGCTGTGCAGAACCATGTTGGGCTAAGCCCCGCCAGGCCAAGCTGTGCCAGTCCTGCTGTGCCATGCCATGCCAATCAAAGCCACGTTTCACCATACTGGGCTGCACGTTGCCCTGCCAAGCCCCATGGTAGCCATGCCTGTCGGCAAGGGCACCACCCGGCATAGCTGCACGGTGAGTCACGGAGGGCACGCACGGGCAGCCCTGCTGCAGGAAGCCCCAGGGCAGTGGGACCTGCTCGGGATGGGCCCAGCAGCAAGGGGCAGCCGGTGTGGTCAGTGCTGGCCGTGGCTGCCTGGGCTTGTGGGCAGTGGGGCACAGCCTCCCCACGCAGGAGGGAAGGAGAAGGGACACTGTCCTGGTTTGAGGCAAAACAGGACTAATTTTTTGTTCAGTAACTTTACCTTTTTAGCTGAGCCTCTTCTAACTAACTAAACTCTGAAATTAGCAGCATATTGTTCAGAAACTGTTCACTCTCACAGTGATAAGACCTGATGATACCAAGGGATGGTATGCAGAGAGGCCCCTGCTTATACTTCTTGCTATAACAACCAAGGCCAGGTAAATTTGTTATTTGCCCCGTTGGAGGGTCGGAAGCGGAAAAGCATAGAGGGGTCACACCTGCAGGGGGGAACGGACAGGACAGGTGACCCAAACCTGACCAACAGGGTATTCCATCCCATCCGCATCATGCTCAGTATAAAAGCTGAGGGATCGAAGGGTCAACTCTCTTCCTTCAATGGCCGATGTCCAAGGAGGACCCTGTCTGTTCGTCTGCCTTTGATCCCGATCTGAGCCTTCCTGACTCCAGAGCTGGAATTGGGCTCCTGTCCATCACCGAGTCCGGCCTGGGACTTTCCCCTGCGCCTGCTGGTGACGTGATCATCATCCTGGGAGCTTGATACGGTTTTGTATATACTGTATACATTTTTTAATATATTTTTTTTTCCCTTTTCTTCTTATTATTTCATTATTTATTTATATTTTCATTAAAGTAGTTTAGTCCTTTTCTAAACTAATTTCCCCCCGCCTCTTCCTCTCCTCTCTTTTCCTTAGTGGGGGAGGGAGGGGCCATCTGTCGTTCCGGTTGGTCAATTCGGTCAAAACCACGACAGACCCCGTGGTGGGTGACACCCATGGGGACCACTGTGCTCAGCCTTCCGGTTAGGTCAGCAAGCCCTGGGGTGGGATGCCGTGCAGAGCTTTCACCCAGTTAAGCTGGCGTGCCAGCGGCGTGGGGCGGTGCCGTCTCACCCCCAAACCCTTTCCCAGGGGGAAGTTGCTTCCTCTTTCCTTCCAGCCTCGGTTTCTGTGTGACCCATCCCTTCGCTTGGAGCAAGGTTGGACGGAGCGCGCCCGGACCGGGGTCACCCCTCATCCCCGGGAGCCGGGCGGGGGTGACAGCCGCCAGGACCGCCACCAGCATCTCCGGTAAAACCCTCCCCGGTGGCTGTGAGCGGTCGCTGCGCCTTTAATTCCGCCTCCCACCGCCCCTCCCGGCTTGTCTCGTACATCCTGCCCGCCCAAACCCCACCTTCCGCGGGGCCGAGCCGAGCCGAGCCGGGCTGGGCTGGGCTGAAGCGGGCAGGGCGGTGGCGGCGGCAGCCTTATCCGACCCCCAGCACGGGGGTACAGTGAGGGGGGGTCCGCCTGTCGGCGGGGTACCCCCCTACCCCCCCCCCCGGATGCTTCTCCCGGGCTCTGAGCCGCTCCCGCCTTCCCTATCCCGCCCCAGCCCCTTTTTTATCCCTGGGGATTTTTGTATTAGATAACGCAGCCGCAGAGATCCGGAGGCTTCTCAAATCAGGGCGGCGAGTAAAGGGGGTGCCGCTCCCACCCGGGACGCGATGCCGACCCCGCATCTCGTCGAGGGGATGGGAGAACACTAAGGGGGAGGTTGCGGGAAATGAGGATCCTTGGCAGCCGGAAGGTTGGGAAGGGCCCGAGAGCTGTTTGCGCAGTTTGGGACCCTATGGGCGGCTGCGCCTCCTCGTCTCGAGCCGAGTATGCGGCAGGATGCGATGTCTGGGCTCGGCCTGGCTGGTTTTAAGGAACGGAGCTCCCCCCTCCTTCCGTCCCTGAGAGCAGCTGGCAAACTAGAGGTCTGCAGAGCTTTTTTGGCTGGACTTCAGCAATGATGCGCTCCAGTGGTTTTTATGTATTTGCTAAGGTGTAAGAGGTATCAGGGGCCCTGCGGGGACCAGCACATCTTTCTGCTCCCACCTGGGAGGGATCAGAGGTGCCTCTGATACTGGAAAGCATCATACTGTAGTTGGATGTTGGCTGGTGTGGAAAACTGCTGTGAGGGCTTGATTTGTCTCTGCAAGCTTGTTCTTCCCCTGTGGATGACCTGCAGTGTTCATCAACATCAGCCTTAGGAGGGTGTCAGCAACCAACCCCATTGCTTAAGGCACCGCACGGTTCCTGTCCCATCCATCCTGGGGTCTGAAAGGTTTTTCCTTGCTCTGCGCTTGCGTGACCTCTGTCTGCCACCTAGCACAGCCTTCCCGAGTATTTTGAGCCACAGAGCTAAGAATAACTCGCACAGTGCCCATGTCTCGGCAGCACACGGCTCCCATGGCCGCAGCCATGTCCAGCTCCGGTAGGCAGGGTGGGAGGGGGTGCCGGGAGCCTGGCAGGGGCAGCGGGCAAGGGGAGCTCCCTGGCCCTTGGCAGGCTGCGGTGTGAGTGCTGGGGAGGTGGGAGCTGAAGGCTGTGGGGGCGGCTGCATTTGGGATTCCTCCTCCTGCAGCCCCCCCGGGCTCTGGGCAGCGGCTCAGGCCGGAGGAGCCATCCTGCTGGCTCTATGGGCAGTGAGTGCTGGGAGAGGCTGCCAGGGTGCTGGCTGCAGAGTGGGAGTGGGGGGGAGGAGGTGGCGTGGAAGGGCTGAGCTCAAAGGATTTGGGGCTGTTGTAGAGGAGAGAAGGACTTGCACCGCCTGGGGCTGCTGTAGAGGAGAGAAGGACTTGCATCGCCTAGGAGAAGGGCAATGGGTTTGGAGCATCCCAGGGTGGGAGGAGTAGATTTTCCTCCTGAAAAGCTTCTGGTTAGGGCAGCCCCTTGGGTTAGCAGCCAGGGTTAAGCCCTGTGCACATGCCAAGAGGCTGCCAGCCCCCCCCCG